GGAGCGAAAGCATTTACTCTAATTCATACTTAATTCGGTTTTAGGTGACTTAATCCATTATAGTCTCTTCATCTTCAACCCATTTTTGTTACTTTTTACCACACCTACATAATTCCTCATGATTACTGTTAAATTTATTTTCATTTAATAACAGCTGCACAATCAGGAGTAAGTTCTGCAGTTTTATGTACTATATTTCTAAATTTTCAATTTTATGTGGATATCTTCAGAAATAATAGACTTAAAATCCAGTGGCAGGTAGTTAACTGTTTTCATTGCTGAAAATGTTGCTGTGCTTTTGTTAGACAGGAGTTTTCTGGAATGGGCAAAGGGTGAGATTGAACAAACCTAGTTCTCAAAGAAATCTGATAGAGGACAGCTCTGATGCTTTAGGCTCTGCTTTCCTACTCTCTACAGTAGAGCTGCTTTCTATAGAAGAGCACAAGAGGTTCCCTCTGAATGTGCATCCTTTCCACTGGCAAGCTACTGTAGGCATTGTTTGCCACATGAGTCTCACCATCTGTAGTGATGGAGCATAAACAGAAAGCCATGCTGTCAGAGCTGTTAGGTCAAGCAAAAGAGTTGGAGCAGTTGGAAGCCATCCTTTGGAGCAGAGTCATCCTCTAATATCCAGCTTGCCAACAATTTGCATTAAATTAACAATTGAGAGATTGATTATGCAGTTGTGGGGAAAATGCCTTTCTTCTGCAGTTAATAGCGGTTTATATTCCTGTATCTTATATAGGAAACAGTGGAAAAATCTTTCATGTACACGTATGGTTCATGTGTCTATTAAAATAATTCGAGAATACAGTAGAAGACAGTTGAGTTTGCCGTCATGAAACAAAATGGCACTTTATGGTCATCAAGTTTATGGTGGGTCATAGGACTCCCCTGGAAATGTTGGCTTAGCTGCTACATTAGTGTTTATAGGAATTCTTTTGCACCGTGCAGCTCCTAAGAGGGGTGAGGGTATGATGTGTGCATAATAATCATTTACATTGCTCTTAGTGTGTGCGAAGTAATCTGCATTTGTCCCACTCCACCTCTTTGCTTGGCTAACAAGAACAAAGAATTAATTAATCTTTCTCAAAGCTACTGTACACTACTAAAGAGATTAAGCTTTTTCCTATTTTGGTGTTTACTGCTTCGTTCTGGTTAATGTAGAAAAGCAGAAAAGATTTTTTCTCTTCCTTTTAATCTGTAAAAGTAGTATGTTTTCACATGCAGAATTTTTCTTTCATTTCTGATAGGCTGACTAAGATGCTTAGACATGGGGACCATTTTATTCAAGTTAAAAATTGTATGTTTTATTAAGCTGATGATAAAGCTTTACTTACAGTAGCTATCTTGGTAATTGAAATCCAAATTCTGAATTTTTACATAAAAGCTCAGGATAATAAAAATGCTGAATAGATAGTTGAGTGTATTAGAAATGATAGAATGAGGAAATAATGAATATTACTATTTTCAAAACAGATGTGGTCAGGTTTTTTTCCTTTGCAAAGCTTTTATCTGACAAATTATGCAAGCTTTGAAATAAAAGGTTTGCGATTACTCGTATACAAGCTGACCTAAATGTCACTTTTTTTTTTTCATTGTAGTCAAAGTGGATTTTATTTAAAGATGGCATAAAAGGTCCTTTCTGTAATAAGAAATGTTAATACACGTTAATTTCATGTTTGAAACTAGCTTCTGGTGTGGTTTACATCCCAACAAATTGATAGAAGTTAAAATAATCTAATTCTGGGCCTGTCTTTTGATAGTTTTTGCTGCATACTGAATGAGGTTTTGTCCTAATAACTTTGGGAAGCCGGGTAGTTATAAAACCAGTTATAACTTGGTGCAGTTGTTTGTTCATTGCTGATCTGGATTATATGCGATTCAAGGAGGGATACTGCTTAAGTGCTGCCTTCCTCCCCTGTTAAGATTTCAATATGGACAGTATTAATTGTTCTGCTTTGAAAGTTCATCTAAATACAGTGTCCCTGTCTCTTCTGAATCCACTTATATGGCTTTCTAATGTATTTCTTGAAACAAGCAGTCTAATTTTGTCGTCTTAAAAATGGCATTTTGCTGATTTACATGATGCTCTGTTCTGTGAAAGTAAGGCCTTATGCATTTTATAATGCTGTTGAACTTTAATTGAGGTTTCCTGTTTCAAAGCACAATGAGCTTATGCTGTCTTTATTTTTCACCAGTGTGTATCTTGTCTTCTAAAAATAGTTGCATTGTTTAATGATTCCCTACTTGGTAAACATTTCAGTGAGTAGCTAGTAGGAAGAAACTTCATGTCCCATTCAAAGGGAAAAAGGAGGGGGAGAAAAGATACGGTATTATCTTTACTGAAAGTTGCAGGCAGCAGTTATTCCATTTTGGAAGATCTTCTGCATTCTTTAGCTTTCCTCAAAAAAAGAAAAATTACCATGAATTATCTTATCTTTCAATGAAGAAAGAAGTGAAGTGTCATTCCTTATTTATACCATGAAGGAAAAATAGCCTCTCCAAGTAAAGAAACTGATGATTTTCCTATGTGCTTTGGAGCTCACTGTCAACAGGATTTTGGGTCTTCAACCACTGTCCTCAGTTTCTTCAAGAGTTGTCACAGGTCCTTGGAAAGAAGTTACCTGTGCTGCTCCTGTCAGTCTGCAAGCTTGGAAAGAAACCAACTTTAAAAAGCGCTATGTGTACAGTATTTATTTACATGTTGACTAATTAAAGTAACTTCCCTGAATAGATTGACCATAATTATCCCTGCAGGTGATGAAAAGGCTCTGCCTTCACTGGGTCAAAACACCTTTCTCTTCCCTTGCAATTTAAAATTCCTGTGGCAGTTAGGGATTCTTCATGCAGCTTGGAAGGAAGAAATACAACTACCAGATAATGGATAGCAACCTGTGTTACTAATTGTGCATACATACAGGGCATAGCTTACTTCTACAGGGTGCAAAGTGTATGCATTTGTTCTTGGTTGAATACCCCTTGTCCTCTATTGATATGAATCTGAGGACAGCTGTTTCCTTTCTCATGTTGGAAAATATTAACCAGATTAACAACATTTTCCTAGAGATGTGTTTCAAAAAAAGCATGAGGCAAAAGAGCTTTCATGGGAGGTGTGATAGGTAGGAACCTCCAATGTGAGTGAAGAAACCTGCTCTGTCTTTGAGGACTCATTCTGCAGGCCGCTGAGCAGGCAGCACTTACTTCCTCAGTGATGCAGCATGGTCAGTAGGCTGTTTGCTTCCTGTCTGTAGAACCCCACAGAGTCAGTCTCCCAATATGTAATACTTTGCTGTTCTGAATGAGATCAGGAAGCTTTATTGTCAAGGTTTATTGTCAAGGGAGAAAGTCTCTTTTAAGACACATACTTGACAGTGATAAGAATAAGCCATACTGAATGAAAATGGTGTAAATTTTCATTTTGTGGAGTTTAGGAATTTCAAATTTCATTATACAAAATACGGTTCAGGTCCTGGCATTTGACAGTAGCTGAATAAAAAAGGGAACAAAAATAATCCTTTGGAAACAAAATGATCAGGTTTTGAATCATAATCTTAACAAAATAAATGTAAATATTTTATAAACTTAGCATTCTGATTTGATACACATTTTCTCAAAAGCATCCGTTGCTATATAAAATCACTTGTTATATACATAAAATTTTGTTGTATGTTTGACAAGAAGTTTTTCAAATGCAGTAACAAATATACAAGGAGCTACAGTTCATCCAGTTTTTCATCCCAAGTAAGAAAAGAAAATGAAAGAATATTAAGAAATAGGTCTGTCTGTGTTAAAACTGCAGTCAAACTACAATACATGAAATTAGTACTCAGTATCTTTAAACAAATACGGAGAAGGTCTGCTTCTGCCTACTAGACACCAGCAGCATCTTGGGAAAATTAAGCCTGAAAACCCAAACAGGGGGTAACAAAATGCTCCAGTTGGTGACAGTTGCAGGAAGAGCATTGTAGTTTACCATCACTAGTTAGGGCATTTCTGTCACTTCCCTGCTCATAGTTGGAACTTCTGCAGTCTTTCCAATATGTTCATGTCTTCACTTGCAGTATGTCTTCACCCTTTTGTGGTTCACAGAGTAGAAACAGAAGTCATAGCTACTTCCCATTGACTAGGAACTGGCAGCACCTAGTGTATCCATCATAGGATGTTTCTATGCTCTTACTTTACAGGCACATCAATTATCAAGGCAGCAGCATGTGTCTAAACATGTTTAGTGTAGTTTTGGGCTTTGTGGGCTTACCCAGTCCAGTCTTCAGCTTATGCTGGAGAAAGGTACTTACCTATTTCAAGTCCCAGGTGATACCTCCCAAGTCCTTTGCAGCTCTCTTAAATAGCTTAGTGTTTCAAATGGCAGGAGGTGCCCGTGTTAAAGCAGAGAGATCCTACCCTACTTGTCTCTCTAAAATCAGGGAAGCGGCCTTTGTGCAGAACTGGGTGCAGGTATTTGTCAGCCTCTGTGGGAAGTCATTCAGCTGCCTAGGAGGGTGAAGAAGTACTGGTAAGGCTGGGCGGAGAAAACAGTAGGGGAGTCTACCCAAGCTGCCCTTCACTCAAGGGCTTGTGTGTAGATTTTGCATTGAATAGTGATGTGAGAAAATGTATAAATGTGTTAGGAATAGAAGCTGGTACTGTGACCTCCCAGCTAGCAGGAGCATGCCCTTCCCCACTCAGTTCTTGAGTTCTATGCTGATGTATTTTTTCTTTTATTACATTTGCAATTATTTCTAGGTTTCCAACAGCAGCACATAAAGTTTTAGTTTATTCAAGAGTAATATTTTGTATATTTTTTAAGTCTTTGTGCAATTAAAAAAAATTGAATCAGCTGCTTGATAGCATAATCAGCTAAGCAGTAAGCAGTGGAAATGCTGCTTAGTAAATGCGCTTTACAGTTACCGAGCAAATTTCCTGTTTAGCTCCTTTCAACTAAGTAATTTTCCTGTTTTCTTCCAGTGTTATCCAAGATAAATTTTGCTTTTTTGCAGTGTTATCCAAGATAAATTTTGTGGTATCATCAATATTTCTGTGGAAGGGCTGCATGATGTTATGACTGAAGATCCTGAAGCAGGAACATACAAAGAGTAAGTGAAAAATCTAATTAATTTTTGTGGGTTTAACAGTAGTAGTACGGTTTCATATGCAGCATTTTGACTGGAAAAATCTGTAGGCAGCTAAAACATGCTTCCAAGAGTTCTGTTTTCACAAGAGTGAGTGTTTTAGTAAGACAGGAACAGTAATTGTAATGAGGAAGGGAAGGGCTTAAAAGGACAGTCAGTGATGTCTTAAAATGTTCATATGCTAAGATTTGCCTTTTGGTCACTTGACTATTAAATCTAAAATTACAGTGCAACAAGCTTGTATGTCGATAGGGTGGTAGCTCGGATTTTCTTTCAGGATAACGCCTAGATTTTCACAACGATCTCCTCAAATGCATCAGTCTCACCGAGTGGACCTACTATACACTACTTTGCACCCTGGAAAACTTAAAAACCCATCCTACAAGGACAGTTCACCCCTTCACTTGCTCTGCTTAACATTCCTGCAACCTCAAAAGACAGTTTCCAGAGCCGTGAGTTTGTTTGTGGCAGGAAGGTGGTGTCAGGTGCTCGGAGTGCACTGCCACCCAGCATTGCACTCATTCATCTCCTGCTGACCCCAGATTACTGGTGGTATTCCATCAAAGCTGGAAAACTAAAAACAAAACAGAGTAGTTACGATTTATATTAATGCTGTTTTTTCTTGGCAGTCGTTACTTAATTTTAGAATGATGGAGAGTTGTAAGACATTAAAAGCAGGCGCTCTGCAAGATGTCCCTACAGACACTATATTCTAATAACAGTATTTACCAGATGCTAAGAATCAAACATCTTCTAACTTTCAGATGATTTCCTGGTGATGGAACAGACTGTATCTGAACTAATTAATTAATTGCTTAAGGGAATGTTTGCTGGCACTGAAACCAGCTAGCACAGAACAGCTTGCATGCAATCTATTAAGTTTTCCTCCTCTTAAAACAGGTGGTATGCACACAAGTGTGCAATGAGAACAGTCCACACACAGCTGAGCCTGAACTATGCCCAAGGTTTGCTTGAAAAAGTACTTCCACCTCCACTCCCTTCCTACCCTGGCCTCAACTCTCAGTGTAGAAGATGTAACTCTAAAGTCTGGGAATGTGCTTTGGCACTGTTCTATTTACTATCAGAGACAAGGTTACATAATCCCTTCTATTTCTAAATGTGTTGCTTTGCCAGCACGTGTTGAAAAGGGTTCTCACAAAGAAATAAATAAAACTTTGTCCTAATTAATTTCATATTTTAAGCTTGAAGGCTTGTAGAACTCCTCACTGTACTTTCCTGAACTTTGGACATTGTTTTTGCTTTATAAAATATAGGTACACTGAACCAAGGACATATTTCTGTTGACAGATACTGAATGGGCTGTTTGAGAGATTCTGACGTTTATGTTATATATTTTGATACCATCTGAAGGTAAATAAAGTGATAGCACTCATCTGGAGTTGTGTGCACTATGCTGGCTCTCCAGGTTGAAGAAGAATGATTTAAGCCCAAACTTGTTCAGAAAAAAAAAAACTTTGTACTTGATTGTCTAATCATCTAATTACTGTAGTGCAGAGACTAAAATAACGTGCATGTTTAGCATAGAAAACTCAAGCTGAAGCAATATAGAACTGCAGCCACTAAAAAATGTATGGGGGTAAACATGCACAGGGAAAACAAATTAAATGACAGTTTTGGCTTAAGTGTGGCTGATCATGAATACGTTTAAACTGGAAATTTGAAGAAACTGTTGTAGATTGAGCAGTGGGATTTTGGAAGAGCCTTTCCAAATACAGAGGCAGACATAAAGGTCTCACCAATTTTTAGACAGAATTTTGGTTAGGTTATAAAAATGGTTGCATGGTGCCCTGGCTTGCATTACAAATTAATTGCACTCAACCACGTTTCCTAGCATATGTATTTTGCATTCTAGTGATAATTACAAGAAAGTTTTACAGAACTCAGATTTTCTGGAATGGAGGGCATTCCATTGCTCCAGTCTTGTCTCACCAGTATTCACATTTTTCCTAATTTTAGCTTTTTTTTTTTTTTTTTTTAATTCTCTTTTAATTATTCTTTCTGGTACCTAAAATTTATCAAGGTCTGAAAAAGTTAATTCAATCATCTTGAATGTTTTGGCAATTGACATATTTTTATCTCCTTTTTAATACACTGTGTTGTGAGAAATCATGCCATTTATGAGGAGAGGAAACTTGAGGTTTGCTGTATTACTTTGAAATAATCCCTTTGTTGGAAATGGTTTCTGTGTTAGCATTGATTGACCATTCTGCCATGATGTTTAGCAAGTGCTTCATACAGTTCTAAACACAAGTTAACAGAAAACTAAATATGTAAACAGAGTAAGTCTGAACAGTTTCACTTACTGAAAAAAAATCACAACTTTTTTTCATTTGATAATTTTCAAACAAGATACTCAACTCAGCTGCAGGAACATTTCACCTGCTATGGGAATGCAGCAATTAAAAATGCACGGTAGTACAGGGCTGAAAATAAGCAATAAAGTGCATCTGTGTAGGTGCTTTGTTATACGTGGATTATGTGTCCTTCTTGCCATAAAACATACCTAATACACGTTGGCAGGTTGTTATCACCTCAGTGATCTTTCACATAATTTGGTTTTTAAAGCAGATTTTCTAGGAAAAAATTACTAAGTGGAATATTTGTGTATTCTTTCAGTGCAGACAGTGTAAAGTGAATAGAAAGCATGTTTACCATAGGTTTGCTTTCACCAATGTCTTTTTAAAGTTCATTCAGATTGTTCCAAGAGACAGAAAAACCTGTGACTAATTTTATTTTTTTTCATATTTTCTGGTTTTACTTACTACAAAAATAACAGTTCATATATGGTTATTACTTGTGTGTATTGGTACCTATCAGTTGAGGGTGGAAAAAAACAGGAAGTTTAAAGTTTTGCTTTATTTGCATAGAAAAAACTGTATAAATAAATGAATGCAGAGGCTAACTAATTTCTGTCCACTAAAAACATTATTGTTCAATGTCTTGCGGGTTTTTTTAGTGTCTAGATCCAGTAGCAGTTACTATCTTTTGTTTTCTGGTCCTTTTGTTAAAGATCTCAAAGGAAAATATGGATGCAGTGAGAAATCTTGGCTAGTTTGCATATGTGTCACTTTGATTTTCATGTTGATAGGATATAGAGTGCTTGTCCAGCACTTCCATGGAAAGACTGGGAAATTGTGGTTAGGAGCAGTGAGGTTTTCTGTATCATTTTTTTTTAACATACATAGTCTGTTCTCTCTGTGCAGAAATGCATTTTCAAGCCACATCTTGAGTTAAAATATGGTGATAACTGAGATTGTTACATGGGTGTAGGTGACCTAAGTCATGGATTCAGACTTTAGATGCAGAGTTCTCAGCAAAATAGTACTTGCTAACAGATTGCCTGACTTTCATCAAACTCCCTCATATCTGTCTTGTGTTTTTAACATGCTTTAAAATAAATTTTAATGATAATGTATGTTAAAACTATTTTTATTCCCATTCTTAGCTGCATGTTGATGGCTCATTTTGAACAGCCCAAAGTTACAGATGACGAGGAACCTCCCACAGAACAAGACAAAAGGAAAAAGTTGGTAAGTTTTAGATATTTTATTAAATCATAAAAACCGATTATGTGATTCACTTGTCAGACCAAATTCTTTGCCTTTGGATTTGGTTCATCTGTTTTTCTTGGAAAATTAATCTCTTAAATCAAAAAGGAATATTCTTTCATTATAAACTTTGCAGCCACAACAGTTATGCTTCTGCCTTCCTTTTGAGTCTTGGAAGATGTTGCCAAAATAAACATCATCTGCTCATAAAAGATGGACACAATAGTGACACTATGAGAAGGGTTTATTAAAAAACATAGAGCACCAACACTCTAAGATGCAAATGTCATGGCAGGCCAAATTTTCTCATATTTAACATCATCATTTATTACATTGGTTTGTGTTTTACCTGAACAGCTATTGATCCATATGCTCGCATAGAACCATTTTCTAATATAAAGAACACCTAATAAGGACCATTGATTTAGATGAAGGTTTATGGGTAGGTACTGTGCAGTTCTGCTATTTTCATCCACCCTAATTTGTGAATGATTCATAGTTCAACTTATTTTTAAGAGTTCAGGGAAGCTGGTTCCTCACACAGAAAACTGCAGTGTACAAATGCTCTGGAATAAAACAGAGTCTGAACTGCTTGGCACTGAGTAATTGCAAAACATGGAATCAGGTGATTGATTAGATGTGTGTAGCCTTATCATGCATTTGCTTTAACTGACCTACATGAATCCAGAAGAATACTTGTGGACAGAATACTTTCCTACTTTATTTCTTCTTGTAGGAGCAGAAAAGATTTTTGGATGGCTTTTGATAATTTATCATAGAATCCTAGAATGATTTGAATTGGAGGGGAACTCATCTAATTCCAACCCCCCTCCCACAGGCAGGGGGACGTCTCCCACTAGGTCCCAAGTATTTGAATATTTGAATTGAGAAGAGCAAAATCAAGAATGATCTAAAGAGAATCTGCAGTTGACTTAAGAAAGTTTCTAGTATCTTGTCCCACTTCATTCGTGCAAGAGGTTTCTACCCCATTATGTCTTCTGTTGCAGAATCAGTAGCCTGTACTACGGTTCAGAGAGTAAACCTCATAAAAAAATACTGAAAAAATAAATGGGATTCCCTCTTTCAGAATAATAATACTTTGTAACTTTTAAGGCTGTTAGTATGAGAAGAAAACACCTCAATGGCATGGTCTATGCTAAGTATCACTTCTCGATGTTTTCACAGGGTCTAGGTATTTTTCTTTGATCTGTCTCTTTACCCTGTCATTGGTACCTCTCTTTATTATAATGCAGAGCTCATAGTTACTAAAGAGAATTTTATCTAGACCTGTGCTTTGTGATTTTATGTAGTTGACATTTCCCAATACTGCTATATTTTAGTCTCATTGCACATATATTGATGAAAGTCTAAATAGGGGGAGAATGATTCATGATGTTGCATTGCAGATAGTGTATAGAGCTCAGGTAACTTTAATGTGCCCTTTATGTATGTTTTAAGAACTCCAGTGTCATTGGTCAAAAAGGGAGTTAAGCTTTTTTAATTCTTTTTATTTGAAACTGTGGAGAGGAAAAATTAACTATCTTCCAATAAAAATCTATCTTAATCTTGAATTACACATGCTGGTACATGTTTTAGATGATGCTTGTATGTAAATATGAAAGTCTTGGGAGTTTTTCTATTTTACCTTAGTATGGAAGAAACTAGATGAATTGTCATCCTATGTCTTCTGGAAAGTAAATACATGAGTTACAATATAATAAGTCAAATGATCAAGTTTTATGTGATAATGTGGTTTACTAAAAGTAATACTTCACTGGTTAGAGTATAGTTTCTCCTTATACCTTTAATCTGCAATTTAGCCACAGATCTAGTACAAATCCCACTGAAATCTGTTAAAAGCTTTGATATTAGGAGTCTTCCGTATCGTCTGACTCCATTTTACAGTCGCTGTTTAAAGGAAAGATTCCCTCCTTCAGTCGTTCATCTGGTCTTACCCAGAGATGACAATCATAAGATACTAACCATCATGGTAAATATATATCATTTTATGTCCAGCATTCTTGCTCCCTCTTTAGTATCAAAGTATCCATTCTTAAACTGAAGAGAATCTCTCAGGTTCTGGAAATATTTTCAAACATTTAATTCAGACATAACCATATGCACTGTTTTGAGGTTTATTAGTATTTTATTACCTGTTCTTGCATTCTAATGCCATTCTATTGGCTTGTTATCACTTGTAGTGATTAGATCACTGTTTTAGTTACATAATAATTTAAAATTATTTATTGAAAACAGTGTGATTTTTGACTATAGTGTTGTATAAAGGTGTTGAGGAAAGAGAGTTCCATCTAGCAAATACTGGTTCAAACAACTGATAGTTCTACAGGATGGCATTGGTGCTGGCCAAGCAATGTTTAGAGGAATGGGAAATGGTTGTTCTGTAAAACCTCTGTACTGCTTTTCTGATATAAACTGCTGTTTACAACCAGTGAGGTGGAAGATTAGTTTCTCCAATCCAGCCCCAAGGTAGGCAACTGTGTCCAGTTTCAAGATCAATTTGCAAAGTAACTAGATTCAAAAGCTACTCAAATCAGGTTTTCACTGAGCAGCATAAAGCACATTTCAATAATGTGTATTTCCTTGCCAAACTTCTGTTTCCTGTCTGTAGCTGTTTTGACTAAGAAACTGGTGGAATTTTCTAGGTTTTACATTTTTATTTTTTGTTCCTTTTTTTCTTTTTTTTTTTTTTTTTTAGCTAGAATATAGGAACTCGGCATACAAACTTACATTCAAAAATACAGCCCCTTACCCAGTGTTTACAGACTTAAGTAGCCAGTGTTAATATTGTTGTGTTCCATACTGCTCTGATGTTGGATGCTCAGCTCTTAGCAAGCTGGAGACTCAGTTTTCAAGAGGGTGATTTTTTTCCTCCAAAAGTAAATAGAATAATCTGAAAACTTCTTAGGGGTCTTATCTTAAGCCAGATACTATTTTCATTTTTCATAATGACAACACAGTCAGTAAAGAACAGTGCTTACTGTTCATCTAAACTTACAATTTTGCTGGCTTATTCATCTAAGATTGCAGCAGATAGTCTAATGTTGTTGATGAACTAACTGTATCAAGCTGTTTCGTGAGTTTTGTTTGTTCTAAATACAAATTCCAAAAACACATCGTGAAAGAAAAGCATAATACTGTTTCAAGAAACTCCTTTAAGTTACTCAAAATATTTTTGACATGCCGTTCTGAATGAAATCCAGTTAGTGTATTAACTCCTTAATGAAGTGTGAAGACTCTTGAGTCCAGTTTGACTTACAGATACCAGGCACTAGATGATAGTTCTGGCAGCAAGCATTAGTCATGCACATGCTTGTTGCAATAAACTAAGCAGATTTTTTTGTACTGGGTTTACATGTCAAGAACTTGGTAGCAGGGGGGTTACAGCAGTGGCTTCTGTGAGAAGCTACCAGAAGCTTCCCCCATGTCCAATAGACCCAATGTCAGCTGTCTCCAAGATGGACCTGCTGCTGGATAAACTTTGAAATACGAAATTACTGCTTAATTTGTGTTGGTAAAGTAGAATGAAAAATTACCTGAAGTTGATACTTTAAAGGCAAATTTTTCTGACTTCTCATTCTAATTCTGTCCCTCCCTGCCCAAATGAAAATCGCGTAATCCAGCTGGACTGATGAGGTTGTATAGGTATTACTACTGAAGTATGTCTATTCTTTATGCATATAGACAGTTTAAGTGTGGTTTGTCATATAACTTCAAACTAGTTCAATTTTTCGTGTTTTGTTTCCTTACTCATAAAATGTAAGTGACCATGGTTCATGCCATCTCTAAAGTGCTTATCATGGTAACATCTGATAGGTTTTTAGGAGTTATAGGAAACTCATTTGGCAGTAGTTAACAAGCTGCTTTGAAATTATTTTATCCTATAGAAGGGTGAACTCTTACAGCAGACTGGGTCCATGATTTGAGACTTTTGAAATAGTTTCAAGTGGATCTTTGTTTTTAATAATAATTTGATCTTTGCTTTACAGGAGTTTTTCCTCTTGTTTCTCACTTAAGTACAAAGAAAAGAAGTGCCTGTTTTGAGATGAGTAAGTCTCAGAGTGTTTTCTAGTGCATTCTTACATATTTTTTTCTCTTACATGTTTTCTACAGCTTGCATTGAAGGACCCTGTTCACACTGTGTCATTGCAGCAGTTCATCTATGAGAAGCTAAAGGCACAGCAGGAATTACTGGGAGAACAAGGTTTTCAGGCACTTATGGAAACTGTGGATACAGAAATAGTTGCACAGCTACAGGAATTTTTACAAGGCTTCTAAATAAGCAGAAACAAGATTTTGTATGTGCAGTTTTCCTTTCAGAAAAATTTGAAAGAACTGTAGCCTTCCATCGTGCATGGAAGAGCCTACTGAAACCTGAAAGTAATTCGTCTTAAAAACTAAATAAATTTCTGTTGCTATTCAGCTAATTTTGATAATGCTCTGTTATTTTTTAATAATGAACTTGAGGTTTTATCATCAAAGCAACACTTCCATGATACCTTCATGGTATATGCTGTCCTAATAGTACCTTTTTTTGGTACCATTACTGGTTTTTGATTCACAAAACTATGTTATAAAGTCAGAGGTCTGAAGGAGCTTAGTAATATATATTAATGAAGTGTCTATTTATCGAGCAATATAATTCAGTATCAGGAGCTGCTTGCCTTGGTACTGTATACCTATAACTTTCTTCCTTTCCTACAGTCATTTTTTGGCTGTGCATTCAACCATCATACTTACAGAAAGAAGTAGGAGAAGTAGTAAGACTGTGAGTAGAAACATTCTTTCTTAGGGGAATGTTAATTCCTGTTTGAGTTGTATCAGAGAAAAAGAAGCTTTGATTGTAATGCTTAAATTGTATTTGAAGAGGTGTTAGAGAATATCGATGTATATCTCTGTCTGAAGATGTGTTTTCATTTTACCACCGATTTCTTTATTTCTGTTATGAAAAACTGCTTGCTTTCTTGAGTTCCTCCTGTCTTTTAGCTGTCATAACAGAGCAGCTCACCAGAGGTAGACGAGTAATGAATTCCAATTAGTGCTTGGCTTTACTTGGGCTACTTAAAATTGCTGTTTTCTGGTGTCTCAACTCTTTGCTTTTTTTTTTTTTTTAATCAAAGGCATATAATCAGGATACTTGTTACTGAAAAATTCGAGCCCAAGTGGTCACAAATGAAATAAATATTTGCAAATGTGAAGCTTACTTTGAGTTTTTTATTTAGTAGTTACCTTGACAGCTCCTCTATATATTCCTTTGTCTTTTGTACTTGTGAATAAGAAGGGTGAAAGAAGGCTCTCTTCCTTTTTGAGATTTTCCTTTTAAGCTCTGATCTTCCATCTTTATAGTTGAAGTGAATTTTGCTTGCTTCACTAAGGGATTCCACACACACACTCACACACACACCCTGAGGGGATTAGCTGTTTGAAGACACTTGCATGCTTTTGATTGTCTTACCAGATACTTTCAAGAAGCAGAGCCTTTTTCTTCACTCACCATTTGGTGAGTAATTTAATTTCAATTTTTTTTTTTTTTTTTTTTTAAAGCATTCCCTCTACTTTCAGAGGAAGCCAGACCATTCCATCCTTCTTTGGCTTCAGTGGCAGAGGCTGCTGGGGCACTCACACCTCTGAATGCAAAATCTCCCCTGTACACAGCTACCAGCATTTGTCTGGAGAAGTTGTTTCATAACTGTAGTTTCCTGCTTGTTACCTTGGTGTAGAGAGCTTTGTTAGAAGAACTGTTACGATTGTCTGTATGTTACCTGAGTGTCATTTCCTCAACTCATCCACCAACATAAATCCTCACAATTAAGAGTTTTGGCTGGTTGTGTTTGGTACTTGCAAGGGAAAAGAGACTCCATATGTCCTTTCAGCTACGAACAACAGTACTTGGCAGCATGTGACTGTAATTGCATTTGTTGAATAGTTAATCCACGGAGACCCACAGCCTTTCTTCTCAATGTAAAACTGGCACAGATCTGATGGGCCTCGCTAGCTTTGACCCTGCACAGCACGCCTGCATGGCATACAGAAGAACTTCAGGTCGGGAAGCAGTACTGCTCTGTTAGCATTCGGTAACATCACTTCTGCAGTGTCAGATGGCACCCCATGACGTTTCAGAGGGAGGGTCGTCCTACCTGCAGTAGTCCTGCCCTCGCCAAAAGGATGTTCTGTGGATTTCTGCTGCATGGCTGAGCCTCCAAGCTCCCTGTGCAGTGTCTGCTGCATCATTCTCAGATATTCAAGCCCCCATTACCTCACATGGTGGAGTGTTAACTACAACTTACTTTAGTGCATGTTAACTAATGCTGGCATGGGTTTTGTCAGGAGTGATGGACATGCTTTTGGCTAGTAAGGGCACAGTACATTGTGATTAGCTTTCTGAGTAATGTCTCTGAATAAGTGAGTGTATTCATTTTCCTGTGCATTAGGGAACAAATTAAATTTGTCACTAGGTATTTAGCTTTTAATCTTGGAAGATTTTAGACCAAGGCTTGGACTATAAATGAAAACAGTTATCATCAGAACTGCTTATATGACAACCACTGTCACTTAACATTCTGCAAAACATGTCTGTCTGTGCAGTCTAGTACTGAGAAAGTGGAGAAATTTCAGCTTAAATGAGCAGAAAAACCTTTTTATATCCTTATATATTAAATTCTTACATATAGGATTAATTTCTCACTGGAAGGTTATGGATCAGGACTGCAGTAAACGTTATCCCTTTTTGTTGTTGCTGAAATTTCTGACTTAAGCCTCTTGGAGAAGAAGGGAAACCCAACCCAACGAACTGCCTGACTCTGAAGCAGTAAAGTACAATTTCTGAAATTTTTGTGAGGAAGGATCTTTGATCCTGTTGCCATTTGAGCTTTGTTTTTCAAGACAAAAATGAATTTAAATTGGGATTATTTTTTTGTTCCTACAGCACAGTTGAACTCCTAAGGCTTACAAATTATATCAGTTTACCTTTCAGAAAAGACAATGAGTGGAAGACAAACTTTGCCTTTGATAAGAGATAAAAGTATTTGAAGGTATGTGCTGAAACAAATGCGAGAGGACTAATTCTGCTGCTTCCATCTTCAACTTTGGTGTATCAATGAAATGACCATTTTTAGACCTTTGGCCTACCTGAAGTGTTAACCTATCAAATCTCATGGCAGCTGCTGAAATCTTTTTCTGCTTCTAAAGGTAGTTTTATCCACGCTATGTTTTAATTCTACTAGATAGTCTGGTTGTTTGTCTTATACAAAACAATTACTGGAATAATTTTAGATAACCTGAAGTATGATAGATCATCATAGAATGGTTTGGGTTGGACAGGACCTTATAGATCATCTGGTTCCAACCCCCCTGCCATGGACAGGGACACCTTCCACAAGCCCCTGTGTCCACCCTGGCCTTGAACCCTCCCAGGGAGGGGGCAGCCACAGCTTCTCTGGGCACCTTGTGCCAGCGCCTCAGCACCCTCACAGGGAATATTTTTTTTCCTAATATCTAGTGTAAATCTCCTCTCTGTCACTTTAAAGCCATTCCCCCTTGTGCTGTCCCTACATACCCTTGTAAAAAGTCCCTCTCCAGATTTCTTGTAGGCCCCTTTAGGCACTGGAAGCTGCTCTAAGGTCTCCCTGGAGTCTTCTCTTCTCCAGGCTGAACAAGCCCACCTCTCTCAGCCTGTCTCCATAGGAGAGGTGCTCCAGCCCTCTGAGCATCTCTGTGGTCTCCTCTGGACTCTCAGGCAGGCCCACGTCCCTCTCATGCTGGGGGTCGCAGAGCTGAACACAGTACTGCATGTGGGGTTTCACCAGAGGGGAGTAGAGCGGGAGAATCACCTCCCTTAAGCTGCTTAGAAGATTAGATAACCCTGAAGTATGATTGATAACTACGATAAAGCTCTAGATTTAGAAAGAAAAACAAAAAAATAAATTATATAGGTACATGTATATAATGTGCATGTAGACCGATGTATATTGTGTATGTGTGGGGCTGGGAGGTAGCAAGCACTCATGTTCCTCCGTGACCTCCCTATTCCATTGGGGCCAGCAGCATTGCTGCCCCAGCAGCCAGGCCTGCCAGAGCCACTGCTGCAGGGACGCTTCCTTGGCCTCCCTCCTCATGGCAGGCGCCCTGCTGCCGTGGTGGGGCAGAGTGATGCTCCCACCATGCTTGAAGTGGGCAGATGAAGTCATGTTGTGCTGTTGCAGCATCCCATGTCTTGCTGAGGTGGAGATTGTGACCTCCTACCTTCGTTTCAGTGAAGCAATAGAGGGGTTTTGCACCGTTTGCAAAGAATTCTAAGGTCCGGGCCATTTCCCAGCAACTTCGAGCATTGTGGTAGCCCGGGGGACTGCACTGCGCAGTGGGTGCTGCAGATGCAGCAAGGCTCCGTGCCATCCGGTAAGCCCTTGTGGGTAAAGCTGATGGAGAGAACTCTGCTTCATGTCAGCTAAGAGTGCTCAAAGGGCCACTGACATATCTTCCAGAGGCATTCTGCTGGCCATGCCTCACTTGAGAAGGGGTTCAGCGATTCCAGGGAAGCCTGAGAGGATTTGCAGGAGGGAAGCCCAGCTCCTGCAGTGCTTTAGCCCCTTGCTGAGGAAGAGCTGTTGCAGCTGATCTGCAAGCTACAGATGTTGCCCTGAAGGAAAGCATGTTAAAGCACTAAAATTTCATTCTTCCTCTTGTGAAGTTGTCTGTTTTCCAAGGTTTGAACCACAGTTTTTGGCCTAAAAGAGACCACTCTATAGAGTGTAGTTATTAGCAAAACTGCTCATTAAGATCCTCTGTTTTCTTGTTGGTCCCAACAAAAATTCAGACATCTTCTTTCAGGGTACCAGGAGTGATTGCCAAAGTCCTAATCAGAATCACAGCTCGTAACTGCAAATTGTAACAGATGGGCTCATTTCTCTGATGTTTCAGCAATAACAAAATCAATTCTAAGATCATATTAGCACAGACATGCTCTCAGATTTACAGTCAACATTGTTCAATAATGTTTAGTAGGCTTGACTGCTCTTTTATTTAGTTCCAAAATCTTGTGATGTTCCTAAACTGCAGTTCGCAGTGTTCTCTGAACTGCTGAGCACACCACATCTTCACTTAGCTAAAACACCACCTTTGTAATTAAGGTACGCTTTTTGTAGGCTTTCCAAGCTAATTTACTCGTCTTGCTTCAATGCTGCTGCTTCAAAAAATAAATGATTACTAATTTTAAAATGTTCACAATTTCCATCTTGCTGCTAGCTATGATTAATAATGATGACTAATCATCGGATAATCAG